GTGGGTTTGAGGGCAATTGAAGTTGCAAAAATACGTATCTGTAGAGTTGTTGGTTCAAAAGGGAAGTATTCATAGAGACTTAAAGAGGGTATTTTTTAATTTAAGAAAAAGCACTGAAAGATGCAATACATGGAAAGAGAACGAGCGGGAACTGTGTGTCCTGAGTCAGGTCCGGAGAGTGTCTTGTAAACTGCTGCTTTACCTCCCAGTTCCAACTTTATAATCTTCAGCTCCTAAAAATTTCTAATTACACTGTTTTGTTTTGCTTGCGGCTGGCTGGGGTTTTGTCTGCATTAGGTTTAACCTTTGAGAAGCAGAGAATGGGACTTCCCGGTATGGGCCAGAGATGGCGAACCTCTGAACCTCTGAGAGGTTTCAGTAACAAAGAGCCATCAGGGGCACGCGTGCCGAAGGTCCGCCCCACCGGCACAAGCTCTAGGAGGAGAGCTGAGCGGAGGATCACTCACTGTACGAACCCCTTGGTTTCAGTAAATCCCAGCACCAGTGCAGGAACCACGCTAAGAATCCCTCTGCTACTGATGGCAGGAGGGATGTAAATAAAAACGCGAGGTAGTTCTTCCCACACGAGAGAAGTATTTGTCTACATAATGTCCCTCCAATGTCTGACGAATTACTAGCGCATCTGCTTGCCATTACCCGTAAGTAAACTCTTCCTTAGCTGGCTGTTAACGAACTTGACATATCACGAGCTGGCTGCAGTTCAGAGGCCTGATTTCCCGGCCCAGGCATAACAAAAGGAGGCACTGAAGTCTCCAAAGTGTGAACCGCAAGGAACATCGAGTGCAAAATCTGCAAAAGCACCCACACTATGAAAAGCACAGGGCGGAGCTGGGGACAGCGCAGGAATAATCTACCCAACCCGTGCAGAGGGAAGAACAGACCAGTGGGGAAGAACTGATGGACTCTGCTCCCAAGGCTAACGACTACCTTTGAGGTTAAAAAAAAGAGAGAGAGAAAACTCCAGCGCAGTAGAAAACATGGCATATGCCACATACCGAAAAATTAACACAAAAATGTTAAGGTGAAGTAACAGAGTAACTTCAGAAAAGCAAGAGCTGTGTACTAAAACTTTAGTCTTTCTTAACTGGAATTTGCATATTCATATTCACTCAATGAACTGCTGATGAGAAAACTAGTGGAATGAACTACTTTCACATCTCAATCCACTGACGCAGAGCTGTGCAATTCTAAACTCACTCCAGGATCACAGACCAAGAGTAACACCAGAAACAGATGAGGAGTTAAATTAGAGTTAGAAAAGGGGAGAAGAGTAAGGTAGGACATTTAAATTTTATTCTGAAATTATCTCTGGCCACAACAATAAAATTTAACAAATATTCACTACAGAGTCTTACTCCTGTCATCAGCTGTACAATACATACAGTATCATAGAACTGGCCACCAGGATTAGAATCCACTAGAACATTCTCCATGTTAAGTGGTGACAGCAGCATCTCACGGAAATCTGTACATACATGTATACACGTCCACATTCAACCGTTTCACATGTTTTCAGTACACACAGTTGCAGCATATCACAGTCACATGTCTAAGTTGTTGCTCGATAAACACCCAAGCCACTGCCTAGACGTAACTGCAGCAGTTGAGCTGAGTATAATTACAATTCATTTGATATATGTCCATAGCAGAGAGATGTACAAGCCCCTAAGAAACAGAAGAGTTCACGAAGACTTTTTAAATGCTACCACAGCATTATGTTGGGCAATATTAAAACCTTCACCAACCAGATCAGTTTTTTTAAAATTCTGCTTACCAGAAATATTCTTGATGAGAAAAATTACAAAAATGAATGCTCTCTTTAAAATAATTCACTTTTAAGATTCCAATATGGCCCAATGCTACTGATGCCTAAAGTGTTTTCTAACATTCTGATGGAGTCGTTTCACACGACTCCAAACCGCCCATCAAGTTTAAAAGTGGCTGAAGTGCCTTGCACCCAAATTGTAAAAACCCCTGGCCTTCCTTACTAGAGCCAGGCACATAGAAAAGGAATGCACTTTGGTTCATACCAAATGCCCTGGGATTAATCACACTATAAAATTAAATGGTTTGAGGTAAATTTTTACAAATACAGTTGATTTTTGTCTAGTGTTAGCATAACAAAAAACATCATTTAAAAAATCAGTCTGATAGTAGGATACAATGAAGACCACCTTTAACCCCTTAAATGTATGAATTACCTGTGCAGCTAGCCGATGTTACCTTGCTCAGCGCCTGCTGATGACTCATGCCTTACGGTCTGTATTAAGGCCTGGAACTAGGTATGTAAGACAGATGTATCTTTGCAGAGGTGGGTTCCATCCTTACTGCCTAGTATTTGAAGAGTTAAAGAGGCCAAAAAAATGCATGCCCTACAACAGGGCATTCAGAACAAAAGGCACATTGTTAACACTCAGGGCACCGTTTCTCCTCCACTGTTAACCTACACTGTCTCGCATCACTCCCTAGCTCCACCGCTGCAGCAACGCGCTAACGTGGTCACGAACACGCAGGTGCTGCAAGAAACGAAGCCAAGTGGGACTGCAACCACGACAAGACGGCACTGTGCTACTCCTAAATCTGAAAACAGCTCAGACATCCTTAGACAGTGGTAACCTGTGAGACCAAGGACTGCTTCCAAGCCAATTCCTAGTGGCCTATCAGAGAGCCCTTCATTTACCTTTAAAAACCACAAAGAAGCAACAGTTTTCTGTTTTGGACATTATAATCGAAGAATTTTTAAAAAGCAGTTCTAGCACTAAATGTTGAAACACAGTGGCTCTTGTGAATAAAGGAAATCTCACTCTACTGGACCAAAAAGAAAGAAAAGTCCCGTAGCGCTGCACATTGTATTTTGGCTTAAAAGTTTCCGGTTGCATCTGTGAACAAAGATAGTCACAGATGCACTGCTGGCTTCCTAACCAGTTTTGGGTGGTGGGTGAAGACAAGCAGTGTCTGTACGTCTATAAACTTTCACACGTGTAATCATTTTGCAGGGAAACAATAACGGCAGGCTCAGGTTCACGTATTTAAACTTAAATGTGAAAACGAGAGTGTAACTAGAAGAGAAACACTAATGGTGAGGGGGAAATAGTCTTTATAATGAGCTACAGAACTAACCTTAATGGCTGTTAAGAGGCTCGTGGTCGTAGAAAGCCGCTAAACCAAGTCTTCCACTTCTCATACCTTTAAGCCAAAATCTTAATAAACACACAACTCTTTAAGTCCTGTAAGCCACTGACTGGGTATCATCCTAAGAGCATCGTTTAGAATGCAACTTCCTAACGTTATTGCACTTTCACAGATCACACAGAAGCGTGTATGACACGCTAAGGATTCTGACTCGGGGAGATAAGCTATCATTTCTAAATACAGAAGTACAAATTAATTTATCAGTGACACCCTTAAATAGTAAAGCAAATATCAATATTACTATCTTCTTAATAAGCTAATCTTATTACTGTTTTTTGGCAAATATCTGAAATATTACCTGAGCATATATTTTTCCACCATCAGCCGGCAAAGCCTCAAGATAAGTAAAATGTTTTCTTCAAAACTACATTTTTTTTAAAGTAAGAGAAACTGGAGGATTAATATGAAAAGAACTTAACCGGAAACTTTCTTGGCCTCACTGGGGACCATGCTTTAAGTATCTGTAAATCAATTTACAGGCAATACAATATTATCTGTGTATATAAAAGATTATTTACCCTAATTTACACTACCCAAAACCTACTGTTCAAACAGGCAGAAATCTTTCTATATTAAATTGCACATACTAAAAAATTTTTCCACGTGCCTTGAAATTGATATACATATATCACTACTCATACATTAGTGATAAAATACTGAAATTTTCACTGTGAAAATAATTATTATTCAGAGAAAATATTCTTTTTCCTAACTCTCAGTTAACTTCCAGGTAAAGTGTCATTCCCACAAAAACAATCAGTGCAATCCAAAAGCATGTAAAATAAAAGAGGAATGCAATTTCTGTGGTTCTTCTAATGCAAAGAATAAGTCAAACCATTTAACTTGAGGGTGAAGTCCTCCCCTTTGAGTGTGATGTTAAAATTGCCTTCTTGAAGGATCACAGTCATTTCTGTTCATGAAGAGGCCTTTCAACCTTCTTTCTTTTTAAAGAGCGAGCTGGTATTTTCCCGGGCTAAGGGAACCTTACAGTGGCACCTAACACGTGTGAAGTCACTCTGCTTTGCTCAGTCTCCTTTGGAACTATGGAAATCCCCACCTTAAGTAGCCAGGCTGCTGTTCCTTTTTTACCCTGGAATATGAAACGATGGTCACAACCACAGCTGAAATGCCTCTGCGTTAACAGTCGGGGACACAATTCAAGAAGAAGACAGACTAAATGCAGGCAGCAGATGTGTGATAAAAGAGGAACAGAGAGAAGAGCAAACAGAAGTGAGGAATAGTTGTGGAATACATTTCTAAAATTAGGTACAAACCCAGTTCTATAATAGGAGGCTTCTTGACAAACAGCTTGCTGATCGTGTTAGAAAATCTGGAGGAACACACACATTTCCGTTTCCATTTCTCCACTAAACGCTGCTCTGCCGGATTTCAGAATGTCAGAATGCTAACTGGGCACTTTAAACCTTGGGGATCTTAGTTTATACTTGTTTGGGGAAAAATCATCTCTAAGGTGCAGTTTTTCTTAGAATACCATTTTCATCCTAACTGTTCTCCATCTACCTGCACGCTGCCAAGATTAATTTCCAGGACATGCAAGCAGGCCGTGCCACATCTGTGCATGAACCTGGAGCGTGCAGAGAAGAGGCGGCCGTCTCCCTGGAGAGAACATCGTCTGAACCGTAAGAACGGAGTGAATATCTCTGACCAATCTGTAAACGCGTGGCAGTCATGACGCGATCAATGGCCTGCCACTGACGTTCTCACTCTGCCACACTAGAAGCAGTAAGGCTCATTGTACTTTTGGAACACAAAAAAGTTTCAGAAAGTATAAAAACTTAAAGCACTGTCCCCATGTATTTTATAAAAATGAAACGAAAACTTTCTTACATTAAAATTAAGTGCTGAAAAGATACAAATGAGTTATTAAGCAAATAAAAACAGGTTTGAGCTACTCCTTTCAACCCGGTAAGGCTCAGCTATGTCGCATCTTTCAGATTACCAGCATCAGGGGACTTGAGCTCAGCTAACCAGTTTTGGCAACACTGTCCTCTGCTGAATATTCCCATTGGCATCTGTCATTTGTGCCAAATTAGTCCTCAGTTTGGAAGCTGAGCTGGAAGGTGGAGGTAACTTGGAAATCGATGTGATAGCACCAGTGCTTTCGGTTATCCTTTTCACTGACGTCTTCTCCCCGGTAGGCGGCTTCGGCAAGCGCCTCCTCAGCCAGGGGTGCCGCAAAGCCTGGCCGGGGGTCATGCGAATTGCAGGATCCCATTCTAAACACTGTTTCAAGAAGTCAAGGAACAAGGGATCGTCACACCCCTTCAGTGCATTCCCCCACTCTCTGCTCTCTGGCGGACCCCTCAGTTTCCCCCTCCGGGACCGGCCCCCGTTGAGGACCACGGAGCCGTCTGGAAGCGTGGTGACAGTGCAGTAGCGGGGGTAACCCTTGGAGCTCACAAAATTTTTGGCTCGTTTGGAAGCATCCAGCAGTTTCTGGGAAGGCATGCCCAACAGCTCAATCATACAGGCCAGCTGGTCCCCTTCATCCTCCCCGGGCAAGAGCGGGTAACCCGTGAGGAGCTCCGCCAAGATGCAGCCCAGGCTCCACATGTCAATGGGCATGCCGTACCTGGCCCCGAGAATCACCTCCGGAGCACGGTAAAAGCGAGACTGGATGTACGTGTAGACACGCTGGTGCTCGTAACAGCTGGAGCCGAAATCGATCACTTTAATACTGCTCCTACCCTGCTGCTTTAGCAAAATGTTCTCGGGCTTAAGGTCACAGTGAATTATTCTGTTTTTGTGCAAAGCATCCAAGCACTGCAGAATCGAGTGAGCGAACTTGCGGACCAACGGCAGGCTGAAGCCCTGGAACTTGTTCTTCTTGATGAGCTCGTACAGGTTCATGCTCAGCAGCTCGAACGTCATGCAGATGTGGTTGCGGAAGGTGAAGTTCTCCAGCATGTGGATGACGTTCATGGCGTTGTCCTTGTCCTGCTTCCGCAGGTGCTCCAGGATCCGGATCTCCTCCGCCGCCTGCCGGTGGAAGCGCTTCTCGTTCCGCACCATCTTCAGGGCCACGTGCTGGTGGACTTTGTGGTCGTAGGCCTTGACCACCTGCCCGAAGCTCCCCTTCCCAATGACCTTGAGGACCTCGTACCTGTAAGCCACGTGATCATGGGGCACCTGCACGTAAGACCCCTGATCGTCGTCATAGCCGCCGTTGTTGGGCCCGCCTGTCATGCCCTGGCGCTTCTTTGCATTTGGACCCAGGAAGTATATTTCAGGGTAGCTGAAAATCTCATGGTGCTCGAAGGCTGTCAGTTTTTGCATGTATTGCTTCATCGCTTGTTCAGGCGTCATGGGTGTGGCCTTCACCTTCCCCGTGCCCTCCATGGACTTGAGCGAGGCCGAGCTGCCCTGCCGCCTGTGAATGCTCTCTAGCTGCCGCTCGGGCACCGCCGGCAGGCCTGGCTTGCCCACTGCTGTGAGCCCATTCGGCTGTGTCGTGAGCACCGTCCGCTTGTTGCTGTTGTCCTCAAACAGCTGCTGGACCTGCACCTGTCCGTGGCCGTGGCTGCCGACGTGCAGGTGATCATTCATTGTGTGCTTACTGCCACCGATCTGCAATTCAGAGACAAGTATCAGTGGAGGAGTCCCGCCCGCTCGGTGTGACGTCAGTCAGGCCTCCTCCCCACCCCTCACCCATACAAACTCCAACGGGGTTTAAATCCACCGCCAGAAGGGTTTCACCAAGTGGAAAGAGCGTGCACCGAGAAGGGGCCCTGTGAATACACTGGCAGAGAACAGGACGACACTGCTGGGCTGACCGGACAAGGGGAAGGGAACAGCGGCCCGGGGAAGGCTGGGGAACACGGGAAGGAAGAAACCCTAACTGCTATACCTAACAGACGAACACTTTGCTACAGCTGCTTGGGTCCCTTAGAGAAGTTCTCTGTGGATGAGGAGACTGATCTTTCCTGTTTATCATTTCACATTTTTACTTTTTAGAAGCAGGCCTTGCACAGCACAGGTGTTCCTTCCACTCACTCCACACTGGATATAAAAATGAGATGGGTGAGGTGGTGCACGCCTGCGATCCCAGCGCTCTGGGACACTGAGGAAGGAGGATCACAAGCACATCCAGCTGAGGCAATCCAGCAGCCGACCCCATCTCCATGAAGAAAGGGCTGTGACGCAGCTCAGCGCGAAGGTCCTGCGTTCAGTCCCCAGTACTGGGGAAGAAGAGAGGGAGGGAGGGGCGAGCACAGAAACGGGACACAGGAAAGCACGCACGCGTCCGAGTCTACACTGGCTTCCCGCCCCTGGACCGCAGCTCTTCCCACACTTCAGGTAGCCGTTTCTCTCCGTAACATGAAGACAAAAACCACATCTGTCCTATGTACTGTTTCACCAATATTTACACCTATTCCTAAAACAGTCACTAGTGCTTCATTTTTCCTTGGAAATGTGGTTCAACCTAGGAACATATATATAACCCAGTGACTAGGAAAACTGCTTTTAGGCTTAAGAAAAGATACTCACAAAGATAGGCACTCTAGTTAGTTATCTGGGAAGCCACTAACCTATTTTTAAAAGTTTCTGGGCTTTACTGCCTAGTGACCATTTAAGGCCGTTCAGCTCCACAAACCACAGTTCTGGAGCCTTCCTTTGGTCAAGCTCAGCTCTCCTAAGGCATGTTCTTCTCTGCTGGGATATACACTTTCCAACAAGCAATACAAAGTGGCGATTTCTATTTCAGGCACACATGCCATCACTGAACAATCTTGTCTAAACAAAACTGAGTGGTTAGAAACAAGAGGCCCCAGCCTTCTACTGGGAATCTATTTGGGATTTCCTTCCAGCAGCTGCTAGGTGATTTTTATATGAAATCTAAAAAGACCAACTTACCATTCACAATCCACATCCAGCTAGTATTAGCAGGGGCCTAGTCACAAAGGTGGCACTGTTCCTGCCCTTTGGGAGCTTATGATAAACTAGTGGACGTCCTCTGTCTTCAGTAGTTTTTTCAGTTATCTCCTACTTTTTTTGGTTTTGTTTTGTTTTGTTCTCTGGTACCGGGAATCAAACTCACAACCTTGTGCTTGCCAGGCAGGTGCTGTGCCGCTGAGCTAAATCTCCAGCCCCCAGTTATCTCCTACTAAATCCTACCTTTTGGACTTTTCATCCTACTATCTACTCTGTAGATGCAGTAATTTGAGAAATGGTTAGAGCACATACGGATTATAAAATTAAGTTTCAAGTACTTCTTGGTAGCAGACCAAGACCTTCATCTTTTTGACATGTAACATGTATGACGACCACCTTCAGAGTGAGATTCCTCTGCTTCCTTCTAAAACCAAGTAGAAAGTAGTATTTAGGCCTACGTATGACTTCAAAGCTTCAGGGATTTTACATCTTGGAATTTCAGAAGACTTCTAATTGAGCTCTTTTATTAAACTCTGAGATGATCCATCACACTGACTGAGAGACCTTGTATTATTAGAGTATCTGGACAGGTTATTTTATCTTGACCCAAGGCAAACGCAGGGCCTGCACAAAATGAGTCAGAAAAGCCTTGGGTACTGTCTATAAAAGCAGTACAGACTTGTCTGCTGCTCTTCCTCACCCCATTCTCTGCAGCCCCGCCTCCCTGCGGTCCCTCTAACACCAGCCTTACAACAGAGCCTGGAATGCAGAGTACCCTTCTCTGACAGAACCAGTCTCCTCCGGGTACGATGGAGACAGTTCTGAAGACAGACTTACAGCTCTTATATACATGCACTGAAAAGCATTCAGGACAAAATTAACTTTGAAGGGCCCTAAAATGACAATGAAGTAAAACTTTCTGAGCATCAGAGATTCATTTCGTCTTTGCTGTAGCAGGTTTTGTATTTTGCATAATATAAAAATAATTACAAATGATTTAGTGACCACTACATTTTGCCAGAAGATCGGACCACCCGCCATCTCTCCAGCTGCTCTTCCTTCGTCTTCTCTTGCAGTATCAGCAATGGATCCGTCGGTCTCAGGTAAGTCTCAGGAGTCCCCCAGGGTCCAAGCCTCATTCTCTTGGCCTTGCTTCCACTCCTCTCCCTGGCTGACCAGCACTACCCAGGGGCCGAGGGCTGCCTTATCTCTTCTATCTTAGACCTATGGAATCCACATCTCCTGGGTGTAAGACCCACATGTCCAACTGCCAGTCAGCTTCCTCTTCCACAGGCAACTCAAACTCAACGCAAGATTTTTCCACCAAAACCCTTTCCTCCTCTCGTAGTCCTCAGGACACCTCCACATAGGGTCTTGAGCTGCAGCTCAGGGGATCCTCAGCACTGCGCACCCGGGACCCTCTGAGCATCTCTATGGCCCTCCTGCACAATCAGGAGCCTTCCTGCATAGATGCACGCTCTTCCCCTCGGCTTTCCCTGGGACAGCGGGCAGGGCCTCGTAACATGGCCCCTCGCTTCTCTGCCTAGAACGCTGCACATCTTTGCTCATGGTGTTTGCAGAGTTACTCCTTAAAAATGTCAATCTGAGCATGCTCTTGCTTTTGTTGGAGGCCCACTGCCGCACCCCATTTCCACGGCTTATGCAAGAACTCAGCAGTAAAAACACAAGGTTCTAAAATGTAAAGCTTAAATAATCTGAGTCCTTTCTAGTTTCCGTCTACCACTGTTACTCTTTCCTCCCAGAACCGAGTTGAATTCCCCAAGACTCAGTAATCAACCCACTCCTTAACACTCCCCTGCTTCTGGTGAGGTCACGTTTCATAGGAGCTGAGGGATTTTCAGTTAGACACATGAAATCATGAAATGAATCCAGCTCTTACCACTTACTAACTGTGGGATCCTGAGCAATTAATCTCTCTGAAACTCAGTGTCCTTGTCTGCAAAAAGAAGCTAACAAAGCTGCCTCATTAGGGCCATTAGGAGGATTACAAAGGTAATATGTGTAAAGTGCTTACACAGTTTCTTTGCAAGTGAAAGCTATTATTACTGTCCTTTTCAGATGCTGCTTAGAAATCGCCTTCCTTCACAGGCTAGTGATAAACTCCTACTCAACCTTCAAAGCCTGCAACTCTGACCTCCGATCTAACAGGTCCTTCTGTACCTACAACTACACTGCTGTATTATTAGTAACTCTTACTTCATTTTACTGTAAATGTTTTACATCTGAAGCACCTGCCCAGCCAAGAGCAATGCTAGAGGAGGGTCAGCTCCTATCTTTGTAACTCCCTATTAACATAAACTCAGGCATACAGTAAGCACTTACAAATATCTGAACAGAATGTGAGTCAATAAATCCCTGTTAACTCTCACCTCTCTTAGAGCTCTTCTTAAATATATTTTGTACCTTCAAAGGAAAACATGAAGTCAACACTCAGGGAGTTGGGAAACATCCCTGGTGACCTAAGTCACAAGACATTAGCCTGCAGTGCATTGGCAGAGATTAGGAGGCAAAGGACAGCTGGTTAAAAAGTACCTAGGGCAGACACATCAGCTACACACCTAAAAGCCACAGGTAAGATCTTAAAACTTTCCAGACATTAAAGATATTCACCTGAGAGCAACAGCAAAAGAGGAGCTTGAGTGTCAAACACTGCAGGACTCTGAAATCACAATCAACCTCAAAAATACAACTAACTGCTCTATAAGGGGGAAGACGGGATGCAAAGCCAAACCGCTTCTGCAATACTACTCCACAGCTCTATCAAAGACTTCCGGATAGTAAACACTTCCCTCTCCCACTCAGGCCTCTTGGAGTCTGAGATTGTGGCATATTTGTATTTGCTTATGTCTAGCACAGTGGGTGTTACATTTAAAAATATACTCAGAATGAACGCAAGGATTAAAATACAACTCACAACTCGGGGGTTAAAATGAAGAGACCTACAAAACCGGGAAATATTTTAGTATTAAGATGATGTAAGAATAACTGTCTAAAAATTTGGTAGTTTTAGTATGTTCCAATAAAGTCGCTTTATTGTGCTAGTATTTCTGGGCATTTAAAGACTTCTCAGAACTCACCTTAGAAATGATGTGCAGTGTTCTGGGAATAAAACTGGAGTCCAAAATACTGGAATTTAACTCCTTCTTAAACACACATAGTTTATGTGACCCTGAGTCAATGCCTCCATTTTCTTCTCCAAAATATTCCTACGTTTGAAATACGGATTTACTTCTTGAATTTTATTTTATCACGATAAAACTGGCCACAGGAGAGTGTGTTAAACATTAAAAGCTATCCAAGTGATACACTGCAATACTGTGGAATTTTAAAAAACAAATACACTAAGATATCTCATCAGAATCAAGACAGTTGCTAGGTATACTTGCAAGACAGAAATAAACTAAATGTCTAAAGTGCAAAATAATCATGCCCACGGACAGAACACAGAGGGCACCGGGCAATCCCCAAATCCAGTCGTTATAATCACACACTTCTCTGCCTCCTGCATCACTTACACAGGAAAGTACGGCAAGCTCCTCCAAGACCACTTTCCTCTCTAAAATACCCTTTCACACGCACTTGCTCTGAACAGTTCTTCCCAGGTGCAACTGCTCTGTAACTGAAACCCTTAGAACTTAGGCTCTTGCCTTGGTAATAAAGTCACTGCAACTTCC